TACATAAGGACTATGATAAGATAGCAGCATTTATGGTGACAGGATCATATTACTAGGGTTTGGATTAGGGTTAGGGTTATTAGATAAAGTGGTCTGTATAGTCAAAGCTATGGTTTTTCCAGTAGTCCTTTATGAATGTGAGACTTGGACCATAAAGAAGACTGACCTCTGAAGAACTGATGCCTTTGAACTGTGGTGTTGCAGAAGAGTCTTGAGAGTCCCTTAGACTGCAAGATCTAACCAGCCCATCCTAAAGGAGATCAACCCTGAATATTCACTGGAAGGACTGATGCTGAAGCTGAAGCTCCAACTTTGGTCACCTGATGCAAAGAGCCGACTCACTAAGAAAGACCCTGATGCTGGGAAAGATTGAGGGCAAGAGGAGAAGAGGGCAGAAGAGGATGAGATGGTGGGATAGCATCACCGACTCAATGGACATGAGTCTGAACAGACTCCAGGAGATAGTGGAGGGCAGGGAAGCCTGGCATGCTGCCGTCCATGGGGTTCTGAGGAGTCGGACACAACTTAGCAACTGAAGAACAATAGGTAAAGAGGTGGTTAGAGCAGGGACCCTCCAAACGCACAAGCACCAGGTCACCCCGAGCGCTCCGTCCTGTAAACCCTGACTGCTGGGCTGTGTTTCTGGTTCAGCGGGTCTAAGCCTAAGAATCTGCATTTTTGACAAGTGATCACGTGATGCCAATGCTCCTGCTGCAGGGACCACACTTGGACTTGGGAAGCGTCATTAGCTAATCTGCTCTGCCTCCACAAAGTCATGTGCCATGAACCTCACTCAACATTCGTTCTAGAAAGGCAGAACAAAACCCAGGTCCCATCCAGCTGAAGCCCTTCATCAAAAATGAACTTCAGGCTTGTATCCAACCCAACCCAAGTGATTTATCCAACCCAACCCACTTTATTGCCTCAAGTTATTTTTGCTTCTTGTGAATTATTTTTTTAAGGACAAAAAGGCAAAGACAATTTTTGAAGAGTGCTAACTCAGTCTCTGAAGTATAAGGATGAATTCTGAGAAAAGTCACGTCAAACGCAAAGTAAAACAAATCAAACTAAGCCTGAGATATAAACAACTCCAAAATAATTTAGGGAGGAGGAGGGGAGGAAGTCAAACCAGAGCTTCGTGACTCAGCTCATGGGGACCCATCGGATTCAACTCCAAGCAGAAAAGTGCCACTTATGAGTCTCTGAAAGCTGCGACAGGGTTAGGTTGATGCCGCCACTCTTTATTAGAACATTTCATTCTTTCCTCTTATCTCTAAGGCCCCTTACATTGAATGGAAATGTTTTAAGGAAGAAAAGGACTAGGGAGATTAAATCTCAAAATCGGCAGAAAGGCCAGCAAGTTGTGAGAGTCAGAGGACTGAGTCGTGTGGAGGTGGTTCTTCCTGGCTCACTTGTCCCCAGATAGGACACCAGGGCCACAGACGACCCAGATGGAAGGCAGAGAAGCCGGCATGGGGAGACAGGATGGAATTAACATCTTAGTTTCAAGGGCTAAGTTAACCTTCAATGTTTAAATAAAAATAGGATTTGGACTCACCTACTGGATATTCTAGAAACACTCCCCAGAGCCAAGACCTCAGCAAAGTCCTTTTCTGACAGAGTCCTTTTCTGACTCTGGCTGGACCGTCAGTCCTGACCTCCTTCCTTCCCTATGCAAAGCTCCTCACCCCCGAACTTCAACTAAGGAAAAGCTCCCACGGCGGCGTGCGTGGGGAGACAGAGACGCGCTGACTCAGGACACGCTGGAGACATAAGGCTGAAGAGAGGCGGCACTTATGACCGACGGTAGTGAAGGAACCCCCCCCAGCCCGACCCCCGAGCGTAGAAAGCGCTGTCGTGAGCAGCCACCGAGCTCAACGCCCTGCCCTCGCCACCTCCTGTCACGTGGCCTCCCTCTCACAGCCGTCCCTGCCCACCCATCTCTCCTTTAGGAGGGCCAGGGGCTCGGGGAGAGGAGGCTCGCCAACAAGGGGGGGCGTCGTCTGTGTTCCCAGGCGAGTACCCATCGCCAAGGCTCTCGTACCGACTCCCCGACATTCCCAAACAAAGGGGTGGCCGCCCTCTTCACACTACCTGGATATTAAATAGATACAAAACCACATCATTTCCAAATATATTAGAAGCCTTTTCATTTTTTTTGGCTGAGCTTCATGGCTCGTGGGATCTTAGCTCCCCAGCCAGGGACTGAACCCAGGCCCTTGGCAGTAAAAGCACCAAGTCCTAACCGCTGGACAGCCAGGGAACTCCCTGGAAGCTATCTTTAAAGAGAGTGAAGAGAAAGGAAAGGGTGTATGAGGCTGATGTATTCTGATCGTCATTTACAGTGACATCGGGGACAGGGACTAGATGCTGGGTGTCTGACCCGTGCCCCATCTTGTGTCAGTGGAATACCCTAACAGGGGCTTGGAACCAGGCTGCCCACTTTCAAGTCTGCCCTGTACCTTACTAGTTATATGGCCGTGGCACTCAGCCAGCTTCACTGTGCCTGTTTTCCACCTGTCAGGAGGTGTTGGCAATCTTACTGATTTCCAAGAAGAGTTAATTCATTTAAAACACAGCTCAATTAAACCATCTATTTATTATTATTCTTCAAAACTTCTCTATGAAGTATTTATATTATCCTTGGTTGCCTCTTTCATTTTATAGTTTCATTTCTCTAGCATAAGTTAATCTCTTAGTAATCTGATTCTTCTAGAAAATTTGCAATAAAACTGCAGCAAAAGATGAGAAAAAGAGGGACTTCCCTGGTGGTCCAGTGGTTAAGACTACACATGTCCAATTTAAGGGACGCAAGTTTGATCCCTGGGCGGGGAACTAAGCGATGGCCAAAAGATAAAAAATAACAATTAAAATATTTTTTTTAAAAGATGAGAAAAAGAAGTGATGGAAGAAATAGGTAAGTCTAGAAAAAATCAAATTTTAATAAAAATCATACATTTGTGGTCTTCTGACATTCAGATCAAGAACCAGGGAGCGAGAGATATAGAGGCTAGAAAAAAAAAAGTGCAGAATTTAGAAAGAAATGACTCTTATTTCCCCCAGTTCCCATTTCTAGGACTCTGTCTGACAAAGGCCCCCAGCCTTCATTTGTTTAATCTCTTATATCACTAGGGCAAGAGGTGTCTGGTCGTCAATGGCTGCTCGTCTTTCTGCTCAGCTCACCTGCGCTCTGGGAGCCGAGTAAAACCAAGAACAAGTGCTCGGGTGGACACCTCTCTGCTCCAGGTGACCTCCCACCTGATGCTCCAGGGCCCGCCCGGCACCACGTGAAAGCTTCGTGAGCAGCACAGACTTGGGGTGAGATGGCCTTCGCGCTGTAAAACTGCTTTTTCTCTGCCGCTGCCTCTGTTTTTTGGGCCTTTTAAAAATGGATCATGAAAACAGCCTTTGACAAACATACTTCATACTCTGAATGATCAAGCCTGCAGGGGCATCAGGCTGCTGCTATCTGAGGCGAGGGTCTCACCTCTCTCCAGCTCGCCGTGATGCTTACCTTGCGATTTTCATGTGACTTAAAGCAGCTCTGATGCTTCAGCGCTCCCCAACCCCCACCCCTGAAATCTGAAAGCCCTGACCTCAACTCTTCAAAGCTGTAACAGACATGTTCTGAATGCAGTGAACACGCCAAAGGAGAAGGTTAAGCAGGGCTATGAATCACGGCAGGGTGGGGCACGTCCCTGGTAGCTCCGTGGTAAAGAATCCGCCTGTAACGCAGGGTGTGATGGGTCTGGTCTGGGAAGATCCCACTTGCCTCGGGGCAGCTAAGCACCACAACGACTGAAGCCTGTGCGCCCAGAGCCCATTCTCCGCAACAAGAGAGGCCAGCACGGTGACAAACCCAGGCACCGCACGAGAGGGAAGCCCTGGCTCACCACAACCAGAGAAAGCCCACGTACGGCAATGAAGACCCAGCGCAGCCAAAAATAAGAAAAAAAAAAAGGAATAAAATTAAAAAGAATCTTTCAGAAAGAGTGAAGTACACAAACATATAACCAGAATGGAGATGGTAAAGAGTCCGCCTGCAGTGAGGGAGACCCGGGTTTGATCCCTAGATCAGAAAGATGCCCTGGAGAAGGAAATGGCAACCCACTCCAGTATTCTTGCCTGGAGAATCCCAGGGACAGGAGCCTGGTGGGCTGCCGTCTATGGGGTCGCAGAGAGTCGGACATGACTGACGTGACTTAGCAGCGATGGACGTTAGCAAGAAGGAAAACACTGCCACGAGCATCTCTGCTGACCGGACGCCCCCAGGATGATGGGTGTGTCAGGATCCGGCAATAGGAGGCCCATCCCAGAGAGAAACGGGCACCCCTCTGCACCATCCTCTCCAGAGACTCGAACGGAGATGCTCAGTGAGGCCCCTACGAGCTCATCAACATGGAGATGTGTGCAAATACCAATAATGCGTGAAAGTGTTTTACCTACTGAAAATGTTAAAGAAAGGGACTTTTCACCAGGCCCTACCCCAAGCCCTTGGGAAAAAAGAATAGAAGCCATCAGAACTGGAAGAAAAGGAATAATTCTGAAAAGAAAAGTATCACTGGTTTCAGTATGTGGGGGGAAAAAAAGCACAGCTCTAGTGACTGGACTTCTGGTCTGATGAGTTCTGGGGGGTTGGGGTGGGTATTTGACAGCCCCCCAGCCCTGTCCGGGGGTGAGGACCTACCGTTTACACATGCACCCCCTCTCCCCCCGCCCCCCAGACCCCTAGCTCAGAGAGGTTTGGGCTGGCATATCATGTCCTGTGACTCAGCACCAGGAAGGGGAATTGAATTGTCTTTTTTTTTTAACCCAAGTCTCTGGCTTTTCTATTTCACACCTCTCTTGAATATGTAAAACAAGTAAGTGCACCTCCTACTCTTCGCTCTGCTCCGAAATGGCTACGGGGAGTGCTTCTGGCTGGCGGCCAGCAGCAGCGCCAGGCCCAAGCCCACCGCCCAGGCTGGACTCTCACGTGCCCGCCTGCCGAGGGCTCTTACCTGGGGCTCCGGTGTACATGATGGAGAAGACGTTGATGGCGATGGTGGCGGCGTAGAACACGGGAAGCGCCCGGAGGCCGTTAGGGACGGGGTCCTCCTGCGGGGTAAGGAGATAACGGGTCAGGTCAGGATTCCAGGGGGTGTCTGCAGGCGGCTTGGGCAAGACGACATGCAAGGCTGCTCGGGGAAAGCCTGGCCTGGGGTTGTGTGCACCCCCAGACCCAGTGCTGGCCTGGGCTGTCCCTCCCACATGAGTGCTGTCTCAAAGGGCCGCCACGGGGACCAGCAGACACATCAAAAGCTCAGGGACCATGTGGGCTGGTGGGACACTTGGGAACAGGGAAGGGCTGCTTGTGAGGCAGCTCCCAGGACCCAAGCCCAGAGCCGGCCTCCCCTTCAGAACCCAGGGAGCTTGCTATTCTAATTATGTGCATGCTGGCCCCCTAAAGTCCATTTTCAACAAATATTTTCAGGCCTGACCCTCCGAGGACGCCCTGAGAAAGTCAAGTGACTGCAACACCACGGCGTTACTACTAGATTTTATGTGACTCTGTGACACACGTTTGCTGTGTTGAAATACATAAAGTAAATACAGAACCACGTGCTACGAGTTTCCAAGTCTTTTCACAAGGTAGAGCATTTTACCTTCAACTGTCACACTAAAAAGAACTGTGGGCTCTCTAAGAAAACATATTTTTTAACAACCTGAGGCTTCTGGTACAACATTTCCTAAATCTAACGTTTCAACAAGAACAGTACTGCATGTGTTTAAGGCAAAATATCACCTGGGAGAATATTAGAAATTTAGAGTTTAGAGAGGAAAAATGTAGAGTTTCAGGGTTTGGATCCACAGAGGATTCTGAAGCAAAAATATGAACTGGGAACTCAATACAGCACTCGCACGTAGGTGTTGCTTAAATAATTCAAAAAGGGGTTAATTTCTAATGACCGTGTAAAACACTCTTATACATTGATATAAATCTATTACCTACCCATATTACAAGGAAAATCAAGTCTAAACATCTCTCTCTCTTTTTTTTTTTTTTTTAGGTCTGAACATCGATGAGAGCTACAGAAGTCAGGATCAGTAATCTGTGTCCGACTCTTTTCGACCTTATGGAGTAGCCCACCAGGCTCCTGTGTCCATGGGGTTCTCCAGGTTAGAATACTGGGGCGGGTTGCCATCCCCTCCTCTTGATGTGCACTACGGAAGTCAGGATCAGGAGAGACTATCTCAAAGGTTCCTACTGTCAAATGCAAACGTGTAGAAATTAAGCCCGTTTGCAGAACATAAGCGCATCAAGAGCCCGCCTAGAATGTCTCTAGTGGCCCCCAGCACTCGTCAGGAGGCTGGAGCGAATGGAAGTGAAATGTAAGGAGCGCTGAGAGCCGGGGTGGGAGGTGACGCAGCTGCATGGGAGTCCCGGCCAGGGTCAGATGCAGGCAGGTGAAGGGCAGGTAAGAAGGGGTGGGCAGGGGCCTGAGAGGAGCATTCCGTCCCCTGATCTGCCATGGACCCAGGACAGGAACCCGGGCTGAACCAAGAACAGAACGCCCACATGCTCACATGCCTACCACCTCTGCTCCCAAACTGTTCTTTTCTGGGGACAACAGCTGCTAAAGATAGACTCCCAACTGGTAACTTGTGAAGGTGTAAAGTCTTCTGTTTGTGTGCTGTAACTGAATCACCTTATGTTTTCTTAAATAACCTACTCTTTTTTTTTTTGCCTCGCCACAAGGCATGCAGGAACCCAGTTAACCGACCAGGGATCAAACCCTCAACCCCTGCATTGGAAGTAGGGACTCCTAACCACTGGACCACAGGGAAGTCCCCAGAGAACCTATTCTTACCACACGAGGACAGCTGTCTCACTGAGCCCCTTCTCCTTTCCTCCTCCCGTCTCCCTCCCTCCCTCCTTTCTTTCCTTTCTTCCATCCACCCATCACCTGTCACCCATCCAAGCAGCCTTTGTTCGCTCTCAACAGACACTCAGCTGGCGGCTCGGAAGGGCTGGGCAGAGCTGGGAGCTGCCTACACATGTGAACAGGGAGTCATGGTTTCCATGCTCAACAGATCTCACAGAGAGTGAACAGGGAGCCAAGCAGGCAATAAACCCCCGCACGACGATGTGAGAGTGCAGTGATGAGAAGGCAGGGAGCTTGTGGGAACACAGAGGGAGGAGCCCTGTGGAAGCTGGGCAGGAGGCATGGCTTCCTAGGAAGGGACACCTGGGGGTGGAGGAGGGACAGGAGCCCGCCTGGCAGGGATGCCCGGGGCAGCAGAAATACAAGCGGGAGGCTACCAGGCACCTGCCAAGATGCTAACAGATCCTAGCAGAGCGGGAGCCCCGGAGAAGGCATGGTCAGTGTGCGATTACCCAAGCGACCTCAGCCTGACTCAAAGAAGAGCCGTGTAAGGACAGCTCAAGGCAGCCACGTCCAATGCGCTTGGCGTGTGCCGAGTGACCAAGGGCAAGCGGCAGGGCTTATAAAGCGCTACAACCACCCCTGACATTCCCCTAGAATACTGATCTCAGTAAGTTTTCATTTTCATCTCATTTTATTTTTGATTTAAAAAAAAATGCACCCCCATAGGTGTAGTTCCTTTTTATCTTGTCCTCAAGGACAGGGAAAAAAACAAACAGTGTCTCATGCTTCCCTTCTCCATTAGAAAACAGAAAATACCTTCCATCTGGGTAAAAAAATTCTCCAGTTGTTTTTAGTGCTGGTCAGTTTCAAAATCGTAACACTATCTCACTCTGTTCTGTTTACCGGTCACAAAATAATTGTCTTTCCTTTTTGAGGTGTGAGCATAGGGCCCGGGAATGCTGACCAATGAACTAAGCCATAGGGTAGGACACCTGCGCTGCTTCCATCGCAGGTCCGGGGGGCCCCTGGGCACTCCACCGAGTCTGCCGCCTGCTTTATCATAATGTCTGATTCCAACTTCAGGGACTGTGCCTTAATAATTATCCCCCCGAGCCCTCTCACTATTAATTTTTATTGAGCAGAACCAAACTTAGATCTAAAACTTAACTAAAAAGATAATAAACTTGCTTACCTTTTTTAAGATGAACATTCTGATCAGTACAAACAGCACGCCAGACATGAAACCAGACAACAGTGGAGATATAAACCAAGAAGCAACTGAATAATTAAAAGAAAATCTAATGAATGTTAAAATTCTACATCATTCAGGTCCTATTTACATAAAAAGCGGTTAACTAACATACAGCACTTACATTAACAAACATTCCTAGAATTATTCACCTTAACTCAGAACTCAACAAACCCAGTGACCTCCACACGGGGGTCACCACCTTCAGACACAAACCCCACGCAGACAAGCACGAACTCCTCCAGCCCACCACGCACGCGGCCACCCCAGCTCTGGCCTCTGAAGAGGGTTCCTCTGATTCCCACCAAGCCCCTTCCTATGCCAGCTGCGGGGGTCACTGAAAAGGCAGCCCCGTCCCTTTCATATTCCAAGGCCAGCCTGACACGGTCACCCTGCGGCCTCTGGTCACGCACTAGAAACATCTGCGGGGAGTTTTCAAAAACCAGTTAACGCTCTGGCTCCAGCTGCAGAACTCTGATTTCAAAGGTTTGGAATGGGGTCTGGGCACTGATATCTTTATTGCTCTCCCAGGTAATTCTAAAGTGTAGCCGGAATCGAACCACCGTTTCAGGAGCTGGGGATCTCAGGCAAACTTCCCACAATCTCAGGTGAGTTTCTGGGGAGTTCATCTGAGTTTCCTGGGATCAGGTGAGTTCTCTGGCCATTTGTGTTCTGCCTGGCAGGTCAGGGGTCTGTTCAGGCTGGGGTTCCTGAGGCCACTATGATTCGTAAAACAATGGAGGTGGGTGAGAGATCTGTGTTTTTTGCAATGAGCATGTGGGTACTTATGGGGTTCGATGGATTTTCCTCTAGCTGAAGAAGTCAGAGGCAGGAAGCAAGCTGTCAGGCCTCTCTAAACAGTCCCCACTGGGCAGCCCACAATGCAGAAGGAGCATTAGGTAGACTGCGGGGGGACTCCTGGATGCAGTGGGGGTAAGCATCTCACTTCCGCATTTCCCATCACCAGGGACTCTGACTCCTGGACAAGGGCCCCAAGTTTTTCTCTGCCTACAGACTGATTTCAACCAGGTAAATTTCTTAACTTCCTGTGAACAGCAGATAAGACACTGCTTTTCAAAGCTGAATGACAATGCGGCATTTGATAAGAGCATCTAGAGTTAAAGAAAAACAACTGCGTGACAGTTCACCATCTCTGCTACCAGAAATTTTAAGGGAAAACGTATTATCAGCATACATGAACATTTAAAGGAAAAAACATCATGGTAACTTTTAATAACACTTACTCTAGAAAATGTAAACTTTCCTTCTTATATGTAAAAGAAAATGCCAATTACCAATCTTGACCAGCTCCATCCACTGCACACCTTGGGTACCAATTGCGACGAGGGAGAACCCGATGGTGGCCCCGACGATGCAGTGAGTCCCCGAGATTGGGAGCCTCAGGAAGGATGCGATGAGCTGCCAGACAGCTGAGCCTGTGGGTTGAAGATAAAAAACAAAGACGGAAGAAAGTCAGGTACACGGTGCAGTGTCTCAGATCGCCACAGAAGGAAGAAAACCCAAATTACACTCCTTCCTTACCCCTACCTGGGGTTAATTGTCTCTGGGTTGTTTCTTAACAAAGTCCCGACAGAAACCACTCAAATAACTTCAGGCAAAGGAACACTCTTCAACACGGATGGGATAATGATGATTTATTCAAGCGAAAGTCTTTGATAGTATGAAAAGAAAAGCCTACAAGTGGCCTCTGTCACGTTTAAGCAAGGATGCAGGTGATGCGTGAGTTCTGATATGAAGCGTGGTCAGGAACAAGCAGGACACTGAGAACCAATGAACATGAAGAAACAAGAAAGGCTGTGTCTCAGAGAAGACTTTGCTGCAGTTAACATCTTCTGGTTGCATCATAAGGAGACTGGATACAGGCTATATGTACTAATCTGTACAAAAGAGGGTAAAACACAACATCAGATCGCGGTGCTAGGATGTCCCTGGTGGTCCCACGTGTGTGCTTGGTCGCTCAGTCGTGTCCGCCACTTTGCGACCCCGTGGATGGCAGCCCGCCAGGCTCCTCTGTCCATGGGGACTCTCCAGGCAAGAATACCAGAGTGGGTTGCCATGCCCTCCTCCAGGGTAGCTTCCCAGCCCAGGGATGGAACCCAGGTCTCCCGCGTTGCAGGTGGATTCTTTTCTGTCTGAGCCTCCAGGGGAGCCCTGGCGGTTCAGTGGTTAAGAATCTGCCTGCCAACACAGGGACGCAGGGTGGACCCTGGTCTGGGAAGATCCCATGTATCGAGGGGAAACTAGGCCCGTGAATCACAACTACTGAGCCAGCGCTCTGGAGCCTGTGCTCCACAAGAGAAATCACTGCAAAGAGACGCCTGTGAGCCACAGCCACTGAGTAGCCCCCACTCGTTGCAATTAGAGAAAAGCCCGAGCAGCAACAAAGACCCAGGGCAGCCCCCCAAAATCAGTGCTGTACACCTAAAACCGGTATTACCAATGTCATGTCAAATATACTTCAATTAAAAAAAGAAAGAATGTAATCCCATGTTGCTTCTCATATTTTTGCCTCTCCCATGAGAAGCAACTGTGATCAAACCCCATACTGGGCACCTACCCCCAGCCCCTGCCCGGCCGCCAGGCCCTTTCGGCCTGCTCCCTCCAAGCCTGCTAACTCTCAGGAGTCAAGAGGATCCCTGGGTTTTGGCTTTGTGTCCTTTCACCTCAGCTTCACCACCCTCTTCCAGGCTTCATGTTTTGCTAGGCCAGAGTTCACTCCAGATATTTTCATAAGCAGATCAGGTTTTGCAGGGAGTATTAAAAGCATCGGCTGGGGAGAGATCGCTTTCAGAAACAGTTGTTGAAAAGCTCATGAAGGACCGCAGGGGAACAAAGGGCCGGGCTGATAAACAGGGCACGTCATTAATCCCAAGCGTTAACTCTGGAAATCTGGTTGCTTGGCAGCAGCAGGGCCTTCAAACAGACCCCTGGCATTTTCTCCAAAAATATCTGTGCTACGGAGGCTCATGAGAGGTCTCAGTTTGTGCAGCAAGGCTGCCAGCTGCTCCGGGGGTGCCGGGCGCCACGACCTTTGAGCCAAAGCAGGCCATGACCCCGAGTCTATCCCTGAAACGTGTGCTGGGAGCAGAAGGGCCAGCCTGGGGCTGCCAATCTGGTGACAGGCTGGACGGCAGCGCCCACGCTCCCCCGCGGACAGTTCTGTGAGCTGGGACACCTAAGCCCTGGGCTCCTAGGGGGACGGATTGTTTTAAAAATAAAGCCAGAGTTGGGAGTGTGTTACACAGCACAGAACCAGAGCTGAAAAAGCAACCTTTATGATTGATAGTCTCACAAAAATTAAAGTAACCCAGTGATGTTATGAGAATGAGAAAAATTGACCTACATGAACTCAGACCGTGCAGTTTTCTGTCTTGAAACCCACTCTCCTCTTCCTGGGCTGACTTTACAATAGGAAGGTTTGTAAGGGGAGGTAGGGGGATGGGGCTGCCTGAGAGAAAGAGGGGAGAAATGACCGGAGGATGAGGGGAAGACTGAAGCCTTGTGTGCACGGGGCTTGTGAGGCGAGAGTGGGTGAGAGGCCTCTTCAAACTTGGGGAATCCTGGAGGTGAATGGCAGTATATTAATATTAAGAAAAACAGTGGGAAGGACTCCCATAGAGGTGGCTAAGACTCTGAGCTCCCAATGCAGGGGGCCCAGGTTCCATCCCTGGTCAGGGAACCAGGTCCCACATGTCACAAGTAAGAGCTCGCATGCTGCAACTAAAGCTCTCTCTGCCACAACTAAGACCTGTGCAGCCAAATAAACACATAAGTATAAATATTTGAAAGAAGAAAAAACGTGGGAAAAAGAGATAGTCTAACCTAAAGATAAAGGTGATCTGCCACGAAGGAAGGGATTAAGTGTGGGATTGGGGTGCAAGGAGAAGAGGGTGGCAGAGGATGAGATGGTTGGATGGCTTCACCAAATTAATGGACATGAATCTGAGCAAACTCTGGGAGACAGTGAAGGAGAGGGAGGCCTGCTGTGCTGCAGTCCATGGGGTTGCAGAGAGCTGGACACGACTGAGCAACATAGGGTGCAGGACAAAACCTGGGGAGACTGGGGGTTAAGACGGCATCTCTGAGGCTACGGGTTCCCAGACGAGGAAAGAATGGCAGAGCAGGTGTGGGTTACAGGGCGGCAGAGGGGACCTAGCACCTCCTAGGGTGGTCCAGGGTGGAAGCGTGGTTCAGGGTGGTTCAGCCATCAGGGTGATGGCTCGGTGTACTGCTGTGAAAAGACGGAGAATTCTGAATTCTCAGTGGATTTTGGGAACCATGGCCGGTTGCATACTAAGTGGATTGACTACTGCTTTAGGGCTGAGCTAGAGTTCCCAGAGAGGCCGTGTTCGGGAAGCCTGGCTGGCATGAACAATGTCTTCCACCCAATCAACTCAATGCTACCATCGTGCTATGGGAAAACACAGAGACCTATGGGCTTGGGGCAAAGTTTATCAAGAAAAAAAAGAGGAAAAATGGAGTAAAAAAGACTGGGGAGAAAAGGGGAAAAGAAAGGGATGTTGGCTTTAAGAGAGGAAGACTTGGAGAATTCAGGCATTTGAACAGAATCATCTTGATTTCAGCCAAACCTAATTATACCACCATCTTAAAACTACCCAGAATTCTCATGTTCAAGGAAACCAATTTTAAAGGTCTAGGTAACTCTCATCTCACCAACTCCCAACAAAATAGGCTTTGAGATTCATCTAACCACACATCAAAAAAAAAAGAAAGAAACAAAGAAAGAAAGAAACCAAAGAAAACAAAATCAAGTTATTCAAGCAAAACCACAAACTGCTTTGGTTAACCTAAATTTTAGTGGAGGTAAGTATCCTTCATTTTTTGAGTGGAGAGACTAGGTCAGGGTTGGGAAAACCCCGAAGCTGGACAAGTTAAGCCGTCCACACAGCAAGTCAGTGGTGACAAAGAGCTCAGCTCGTAGCCCTTCTGTCCACCTGGGGCCCCGGGGCAGCCTCACCGACAAACCTCCTCGACAAATACCAGCACTCCCCACAGGGCCCATCCAACACGAGGAGAGACTGCTATTACGGCTGAACTTCACCACTCCAGACCACACACGGCTCTACTCAATACCCTGTAGCAATCTATATGGGGAACGAACCTATAAAAGAGAGGATATACGTACAACTGACTCACTTTAGTACACACCCGAAACTAACACTATATTGTAAATCAACTATATGCCAACAAAAATCTAAAAAGACTGAACTTAAGCAATGTTTTTATTTCTCCTTTACTTTCATTATATCTTGTCCGCATCACCCTGACTGACAAAACTTTAATTTCTGCTTGATATGATTCAGTTCAGTAGCTCCAACTCTTTGCGACCCCATGGACTGCAGCATGCCAGGCCTCCCTGTCCATCACCAACTCCCGGAGTTTACTCAAACTCATGCCCATCGAGTCGGTGATGCCATCCAGCCATCTCATCCTCTGTCATCCCCTTCTCCTCCTGTCTTCAATCTTTCCCAGCATCAGGGTCTTTTCAAATGAGTCAGCTCTTCGTATCAAGTGGCTAATGTATTGGAGTTTCAGCTTTAGCATCAGTCCTTCCAGTGAATATTCAGGACTGATTTCCTTTAGGATGGACTGGTTAGGTCTCCCTGCAGTCCAAGGGACTCTCAAGAGTCTTCTCCAACACCACAGTTCAAAAGCATCAATTCTTTGGTGCTCAGCTTTCTTTATGGTCCATCTCTCACATCCATACATGACTACTGGAAAAAACATAGCTTTGACTGGACGAACCTTTGTTGGCAAAGTAATGTCTCTGCTTTTTAATATGATGTCTAGATTGGTCATAGCTTTTCTTCCAAGGAGCAAGTGTCTTTTAATTTCATGGCTGCAGTCACCATCTGCAGTGATTTTGGAGCCCCCCAAGATAAAGTATGTCACTGTTTCCATTGTTTCCTCATCTATTTGCCATGAGATGGGACCAGATGCCATGATCTCAAGTTTTTTGAATGTTCAGTTTTAAGCCAACTTTTTCACTCTCCTCTTTTACTTTCATCAAGAGACTCTTCAGTTCTTCACTTTCTCCCATAAGGGTGGTGTCATCTGCATATCTGACATTATTAATCTTTCTCCCAGCAATCTTGATTCCAGCTTATGCTTCATCCAGCCTGGCATTTCACATGATATACTCTGCATATAAGTTAAATAAGCAAGGTGACAATATACAGCCTTGACGGACTCCTTTCCTATTTGGAACCAGTCTGTTGTTCCATGTCCGGTTCTAACTGTTGCTTTTTGACCTGCATACAGATTTCTCCAGAGGCAGGTAAGGTGGTGTGGTCTGATTGATATGATTATGTCTTACATATTGATCACCACTACTGAGGGTGATTTTTACAAGTAACTGTTATTTTTCTAAGGGAAATGTCAATTATACCTGACTATGATGAGAAGCATATATTCAATGAAGGTGAATAAAATTCAATCATTATGATAACTGTTATGGTAAATGGTTTTCTTTGTCAAACAACTCTCTATTAAATTATTTTCCTTAGACATTCTTAACTAGCTGGGCACTCCATCACACCACTGTTGATGTCACCTATGAGGTGGTGGGGGTGGCGGCTGTCAACACTGTAGCCCACAGACTGGCTGGTCCCCAGGATCTCTTTAATTGTTGCAGAGACTTCTCCAGCCAAGACCACTGCTGCATCTGTTGGGCAACATTGACAGTCTCATCAAAAGTGGTGTTTCCACTCTGCTTATGTTTCCCTGCCTCTTTCTGTCTTTTGGCAACTGTTTGAGGGCTCTGATGATCATGGCAGAGGCAAAAGGTGCCACCTCAACGTGGGCCTGTCTGTGCTACATGGTCACTTTGTCATCCTCACACCCTTCCAATCACCGGTTGCCTTGACCATGCCATCACCAATCCTTTTTTAGAGACAGACCCAGGGGGCTGAGCTTGGGGGCCAGGGCAGACAAGGGACCTACTTCCCCACCGGGGCACGTCAGGTACACAACTGTGATCTCACTGGGGTCATCGAACTTAGGCGGCAAGGTGGGGGTGGCTGATGTCGGACAAACCTGGATTCAGGACAACCAAAAAAAGCTGCACCTTGGCCTCCTCTGAGCCCAAAGTCTGTGTACTGATAGTAAATATTTAATTCTTAAAAATAATGATCAGTTATATCCATTGTGAGCCTTACATCTTTCAAACACAAAATGTGCAGCTGAGGAAGAGGAATTCTGAGCACCTATGATCAACCTACCACGCTTCGGTTCAGCAGTTCAGTCGTGTCCGACTCTTTGCAACCCCCATGGACTGCAGCACGCCAGGCCTCCCTGTCCATCACCAACTCCTGGAGTTTACCCAAACTCATGTCCACTGAGTCAGTGATGTCATCCAGCCATCTCATCCTCTGTCGTCCCCTTCTCCCCCTGCCCTCAATCTTTCTCAGCATCAGGGTCTTTTCAAATGAGCCAGTTCTTTGCACCAGGTGGCCGAAGTATTGGAGTTTCAGCTTCAACATCGTGTCCTCCAATGAACACTCAGGACTGATCTCCCTTAGGATGGACTGGTTGGATCTCTTTGAAGTCCAAGACTCTCAAGCAGAAATAGATGTTTTCTGGAACTCTCTTGCTTTTTCAATGATCCAGCGGATGTTGGCAATTTGATCTCTGGTTCCTCTGCCTTTTCTAAATCCAGCTTGAACATCTGGAAGTTCATGGTTCACGTATTGCTGAAGCCTGGCTTGGAAAATTTTGAGCATTACTTTGCCAGCATGTGAGATGGGTGCAACTGTGCAGTAGTTTGAGCATTCTTTGGCATTGCCTTTCTTTGCGATTGGAATGAAAACTGACCTTTTCCAGTCTTGTGGCCACTGCTGAGTCACTTAGTAGTATTTAATTCCTTACTCAGGACCTCCGTCTGCTTCTAATCAAAGACCTCAACTACTTCTCAGACTAACCTGCTGTCACAAAAAAGATGATGGGCCATCCTAAACCTGGCAAATAACCTGCACATCCTCAGTGCTACAGAAGTGCTGGTGGTGACTAATCTTGAGACCTGTGGGATGGAGCCGTGTTCTCGGTTCACCAGCATCCGGCCTCCCAAGGCATGGCTCTCCCCACAAAAGCATGTGCCCTGCTGCAAACAGAAGGTGGCAGGACACCCCTCTCACCCCTCACCTCTTGCCCATGCAGAACCGCCACTGCTGTGCATCACCTGGACCGACAGGCAAGTGGAGGAGGGTCTTGTCAGCTGCACCTAAGGCCCTGCTGCCTGAACCTCTCAGCTTGGTGAGGGAGCACCCAGGCTGCTACAGGTCTCAGATCAGTGCGGGCAGAGAAGGAACCACACATCCAGTCAGCGATCCTCTTCCAGTGCAGCTCACTGCCCTCCACCCCCCTCTTTCATCCAGGCACCCGGACGCTACCCATAAGAGGTCCTACTGCAAACAGGTGACGTACAAATGGTCTTCTAGCCGGAAAACAAAACAAGCATACCAGATGGAGCTCCCAGGGGTGGAATCAGAAAATCCGAACAAAAACCAACAAAAGGATGACAAATGACAGAGAAGACCAATGTTTCTTGAAACATAGGCACTTAAGATTCATTTGGTAACTGCTCTAAAACTTAAATTGAGAATACAAAAGTTAAGCTAATAAATACTGTTTCTTGGCATCCATGTTTTATGATAAAACATCACCTTGGAACTAAGGAAAAATATATGAAAAAACAGAAATAAATCTTCAAGGTTTATAAATAAACCTAAGTAAACCTCTGAAACATATTCACTTTAACGTGTTCTTTCTTTAAGAACTTTCAAATAGCTTTAAAATGACAAAGAGCTATGCTATAAATATCTTTTTTTCTGGACTTTTTGAAAAGCACTGACTTAGCCAAAATCTCTTTGAATACATTCAAGAAAGAAGTGATTGCTTATTTGAACACTGACCAAAATCATAATATACAGAATGCACAAATAAGATATAATGAGAAACAAATCTGAAAAATATACATATACATATATACACATACATGTATATTACATACACATATATCTGAATTACTTTGTTATACACCTGAAAATAACACAACACTGTATATCAGCTATACTCCTATTTAAAAAAAAAAAACTAATCAAACCAGCTTTTGAAAGGTTAAAGCAAAACTCTCATTTATGGGTATGACAGAAGTCGGGTGGAGAAGTGGGTCAGTGGACACATTCCCACGGGCGGGAAGATGAGGCTACTTACCGACCATGGCACTGACCTCCCCGGCCATCAGCGTCTCCACGGTGTCGTTGTACAGGTTCACGTCAATGATGCCCTTCCGGATGGTCTCTCCGACTTTGGCCCCCAGCAACACCGAGCCGGTGGTTTCAAAGATGGAAGCCAGGATACAGGCCTGCCTCAAGGTCACCACGCCCGAGCCCACGGCAGTACCAAACGAATTGGCAACATCATTGGCACCCACAGAAAACGCCAAGATAAAAGCTATGATAAAACCCAAGATGACCATCCACAGGTACTCGTCCATCGCCATTGTGGACGCGGGGTGCCGGGTGCTTTTCTTGTGCGGAAATCTCTGAAACTGGCCGAGCGTGAGGTCCTATGGGGTGTGAGGCTGAGAGGTCCTGTGAACAGTGAGTCTGCTCTGGAAAGTGCCGGGTGATGTTGGGGCTGCACAAACTGCTAACTGCTGGTTTTCACACTACTGTCAGGACAGTTCATTGGGTTGTGTTCAGTCAGCGGTAAAATACATTCCATATTTTCCCTCCTGATCTGGGGAAGCTGTGAGGGCTCCTCCTGTGTCAGAAAAAAAAAAACCAAAAGGGATTAGTCACCCTGAGGAATGGGCGACAATGGTCTGTTCTTTCAGGAAGAAGCTTCTGGAGACGACTCATGGGCCCTCACTTTCGCAGGCATGTGGCGGATCTGACCATAAAGCAATGCAAGGAAGATTATAAGCAGGCTAACTTCTACCACCGCCATCACCAAAAAAGGCTTGATTCTAAAACTTCAGAAGGTGATCATGCTTTATGATTATAGACTGACAAGAAGTCCTACTAGGGTACATTTTTACACAACTTGAAGAATATATGTGGCCTTTATTTTAGACAGAAAAAATTCTGTCAGAGGAGCAAAAGAAAAAGAAATGAGAAATTCAGAGTCACAGAGCTCATCAGATACACGGAACACGCCTAACTTCTTGGAGCAGGGTTACCCCAGCGTAGCTGGGACATTGTGGGGTGTGGCTCCTTGTGCACCTGCTCACATACACACCTCATACCAAGCTTACAAACCTGTGTCTGAGCACGAAGTGACCCTTCCAGAGGGTGACGGGGGAGACAGAAGCTGAAGGCGCTTCCCAGCAGGATGGGGACGCTGGAGCAGAGCCACCTTGTCAGAGCGTGGGGGAGAGCAAGTCACTATGCGCCGCCTCCCACCTCACCTGGGGATAGCCAGAGGCCTGACCACAGCCTAGGAGATCACCCCCAGGTCTCCCCAGGGCCCCCCCAGATGTCCTCAGGGTTCCCCTGCAGAGCCCTCGGGAGATCTAGGGGAGAGCCCCAAGGAGATCTGGGGGGAGCACAAGGGAGATCTGGGGTGGGAGTCACAAGGAAACCTGGTGGGGGGAGCCCCAAGGGAGATGTGGGGGGAGCTCCGAGGAGGTATGGTGGAGCTGAGAATATCTGGGGGGAGCTCTAATCTCCAGGGATCCCCCAGATCTCCCCGGGGCTCCCCCCAGATCTGCTTGGGGTTCCCCCTAGATCTGCTGGAGGTTCCCCCCAGATCTGCTCGGGGCTCCCCCCATATGTCCCCAGGCCTCCCCCCATATATTCTCATGGCTCCCCCATATCTCCTCAGACCTCCCCCCAGATTTCCTTGCAACTCCTCCTCCCCAGATCTCCCCGGGGCTCCCCCAAGATCTCCCCAGGGATCCCTCCCTAGATCACCCCCTGCCAGATCTCATCGCATCCCCCAAGCCCGCCTGGGCTCACTGAGCCCGGCTCCTGCCCGCCTCCTCCCCTCACTCGCTCCTGCCTCTTCTATGAAAACCGCCAGCTTCCTCAGCTCAGGGCCTTCACACCTGCTGGTCCCCAGGCCAGAAACAGCCTCTCCGTCAGCTCACCGCCTGTTCCAAGTCCCTCTCTGCCCAGACGTCACCACCAGAGCAGGCCCCGACCTTGTCTAACGGCAGCACCGCCCCCCCCCCCCCCCCCCGCCCCATGCCACTATCCCTCTCTCTCACCCAATTGTTTGCCTTTTCTACTGACCACCTCATTCATTCGTTCACTCCCTCCCGTCTGGCTTCACACATGGGGATTCCCATCTGTGTCTCCAGTACACAGACTAGCATCTGGCACGGGATAAGCCCTAATCAAGCTGCTGAGTAAGTGAAGAAAGAAGCTATTAGATAAATGAAGGAAAAAAACTCTTGCATAGGCTTCTTCCTGGGATGAAGAGGTGATGTCACAGAATTAAAACTTCTGTGAAGGAAAAATGTCATGAAAAGCTTCGGAGTTGTGGTGTTCTATTATTATACAGAGTACCATGTCTGTGTACTTGAGCGGTTCTCAGCATTGAGAATCATCCCTATAAATGCTTATTGAACTGAGTTAGCCTCATATACCACGTCATATAAAATATAACGATCAGTCAACATTAAGGTGATTTAAGGGAAAAAAGCAGGACACAAAATTTATGTACCTATCTATGACTGTGGCAATGTTAAAAGGTATATAAAAGACCCAGAGACAGTAGTAGAGATCGATTTTTTCTCTCCTCCCAAAATTCTATACTGTTGTTGACGTGCTTTCCAAATTAAAATAATACATAAAAACAAATCAACATAGAACCATCTTTTTAGAAAAAATAATCAAAATGCAGCAACCACACGTGTTGGCAGCGTGACAGGCCCAGGACGAAGCAGGAAGTGTGCCCAGACCACCTTCTCACTTTCTAAGCTTTGTAGCCCACGTGACTCTGGAGACGTGGGGAAAGACCACGCTGAGCCGATAAATGAAAATACAAAGTCAAACCAGTGTGGGCCAATGTTATCTACCTTGAAATACAAATAGTTCTAGATGAAGCCTCGTCGGTCAGGTCAGGGGGCCCAGAGGCCAACAAGGACAGTACCAGATGCTGTTTACTGAGCGCCCTGGTGGGCCTGTCACCAGGAAGATGCTGAGTGACACGGGATGTGGTCCAGGACGGGAGACGGATGCTCATCGACAGACACACATCAGACTATCAGGTGTGACAGGTGCTGAAGGGGGAGGCCTGCATCATACACATAGCCTCACGAGCACAGAGATGGGGCACCTGGTCTGTGCGAGCAGGAGGGGGTCCCCTTCCACCTAAGGATGGGGGGGTCAACCTGGGACCAGGGGGGTCACTCCAGGCGGTTCCCAGTTGGGAAGGGGTGGCATGAGGGGGGAGATCAGAGGCAGCCTGGGGAGATGGAGGCTGGGCTGGACCACACTGCTGGTGGCCACCTGCTAACACTGGGGGGTTCTGTTAGAGGGGTGCTGGCGTGCTCAAGCTCTCCTTCCTGGAGGCCCCTGGCCACAGTGCAGAGGCGGGCCAGGGTGCCGGCGGGAGGGGACGTGGGGAGACTGCCTCCGAGGCCCCTGGCCACAGTGCAGAGGCGGGCCAGGGTGCCGGCGGGAGGGGACGTGGGGAGACTGCCTCCGAGGCCCCTGCACGGCGCAGGTGCAGATGGGTGTCCTGAGCCGGGGACGGGGTGCTGCCAAGGGGAAGAGAAGGGACGGAAAGAGGGGTTCCGGTGGCTGATGCCGCCGGGACGCAGTGCTGGCTCGTCAGTGGGGATGGAGACAGGAGTGCTGGGCTGAGGAGTCACCGGGTGGGGTGTTCTCCCATCTGCGCTGTGCTTGTTTTGGTTGGTAGGCGTCAGGGCAGGGTCTGGGCACAGCTCACGGCTGGACACCGACATACACACGGGGTGAGGCGGGGCCCTCGGGCCGGCTCTGCTTCATGAGGGTTTCATAGTCTTTGTGGTACCCCGGCACTCTTTCAGAGCAGGGGTTCTCTCTCCCACTCCCGTGACCTTAGACAGCTGATCTCCACAATCACGTCTGTGTTTTCTCCTTCACACTCAGCCCCCGAAGTTCCGAAGCACCTGGCCGAGGAGAAAGGCCTGCCCCTTTTAAGAGACCAAATCATTTCCATCTTGCGAGATATTTACCCAGCCTACTTCCTATTGCAAGTACCAACACTTTGATTTTCTTCATTGATTTTTGTCCAACATGGGCAAAACGAAGTACTTAAATAACTACACAACAGGATGCGTTGAAAAAGAGGGTCGCACTGCTGAAACAGCCCTTGGTGGGCCAGAAAACCACCATGGAAGCGGCAGCTTGTCAAGAATGTGGCCAAATTCAGAGAGGCCGAGGCCCAACCAGGAGGCTCGTGTCTGAAAGTAGAATTTTGAAGGGGGGGGTGGGGGGGGGCGTTGATCACATCAGGGCGGAAATTCACCTTATTCAGTAAGTCAATAAATGATGCTGGGCCAACGTGCCAACTGCTAACTATCTAGAAGGAAGGAAAAAGTGAGAATTCCTACCTCACCCGAAGTGCAAGATTTAAATATAAAAACTGAAATCGGAATAAAGACTACAGGTAAATATTTACTCAATATTGGGACGGGGATGCCTAGCCGTGACACTGGCGGCATTGGATGGAAACACATGTGCATTCACGGGACTCCTGCAGACACTCTGAGTGTGGGAGCAACAATGAAAACGCATTCTCTCTTCCTTAGCGGCGATGCTCAGTCCGGGGCGATGCCGATCAGAAAACCTCCAGCAAACGCCTTGTCCTTCCTACCACTCCTCCAAGAGCTTTTCTGAGAAGTGTCAGGACATGACAGGAGGTGGGCTGGAACAAAGCATTCCTCTTCCCTCTCCTTGGCCGAGTGTGAAAACCCCTAAATGGCCGGGCTCACAGACCTAGGGTTACAAGACGCTCGTCGGTTTTAAGATGCCCCGGACCTCTTGCATTGCAGGAGCAGAGCCCTTAAGAGTTCGAACTCCTGCAAGAAATACTGAGAGTTTTGTAAGGTCTGTGTCCCAGACGGGTCATGTTCACAAGAGCCTGCCTTTCCCCGGTGAGTCGGAGTTTCAGCTCACCCTGGTGCGGCCTGGCGCCTGGGCCTTTGGCTCTGAGCCGCGCCCCCAGGGCTCCTGCGTGGAGGCTTCCAGACTCTTTTTCTGTCAGCGTTGACTCAACTCTCCCCAACACCCCTCTCCCCACCCTGGGAATTGGAATGTTTACAGAAGCGTGAAAACAAACATTCTCAGAATATTTCTAGTCAGGTTTGTACACTGCTTAAGAACAGGAATGTTGCTGAGTTGTGGCATTTAATAAACTTCGGTGTGCAGAGAAGCCTGGACGGGGGGTCCTGCTCTGAAATGCTGCCAACAGTGACACCCCAGGAGACCCTGACCCTCCCAGCAAAGGTCTGCTCTAGGACCCTCCAATCCCCGCCGGTCTGGGGTCTAACCATCTCCCCAGTCGGCACCTACCCACCCCAGACAAGCAGGTTCACAGCGGCGGGCTGTGGGCTGTTCGGGGACCCAGACTCACGCAGAAAAGAATCCCAAAGATGAACTCTGGCTTTTCCCCAAGTACACACCTATTTCCATCAGTTCACCTGCCAATCTCGAATTCAGCTTTTTTAAAAAAAACAGCACCTCTGATCTTGAAGGACGCTGGCTGAACTAGCGTCACATTTCACCCAAGTCCTTCTCCTGCCCCTGTGATGCCAAAGGAATTCAATAAAT